TGGGAATTTTTCAATTTTCGATGAGCAAGAAAAGTGTTTCCAATCTGCATCCTTGCGCCAATTCGCATATTTTTGCATTTTGTAACAATTTTCGCGAGCTTTTTTGCGTATTCATAGCCGAAGCTTCATACTCATTTGAACTCCAGCCTCATTTTTCACATGGAGTGTTGCTTTAATACCCGGCACCTCAATGAAAATCGCCCTTCGGTTGGTTAAAAAGTGATTTACAGGCTCAGTTTCACACCCTCCAACACATCTGTTTTGGGCAGATTTCAATCGATAACGGCCCACCCTTTATGTAATTGCGCTCCTCTTTTTCCACATGTTTTGTTGTTTTGACATTAACTTACTTTTGGCTCATTTTGCGTGGGTCTTTTCCTACTTCTGCCGCCTTGAAGCCCAAATCCTCTTAGTTCCCATTGTGAGCCACTGAAAAACAACATTTCATATCCGCTATTGAATGCAACAATCGATTTTATATGCAAATGTTGTAGGTATATCCCCTGCAGACGCTCGAAGAATTTCAATTAGAGCTAAGAACCTAAAGCTATTTTTAACAGTGTGCGTTTTACATCACGGTTAACGGCCTAAGAAGGCCTATCCAGCAGAGCTTTTCCTCCGACCATTCCGAATTCAATTTTCTTGATTATTTCGTGGGATTCGGCCATTTATCGTGCCAATCTAACCATCTGAAGAGCAGAAGGAAGAACGGTTTAACAGTTCTTATCCTGTCGGTAATTGCCCAGTGCATCGCTTGCAAGCATCAACAAAGCGAGTCTTTAACAGTGGGAAAGACATTGAGGTGCATTGGCCTGATCTAGGGAGGATTTGTCAGTGTTTTCCGACCAAATCACTGCTGTAGAAATGCTGACGGCTCTTTAAACGAAACAATTTCCACTAGTTGGCGAATTCTGGCTATTTAGAGAGCGCGAGAGAAATCGGGGCAAGAAACTGAAACTATAAATATGATCTAGATTGTGCTCAACAGTTGAAAAACGGCCAAAGTGCAACCTATGCGAACTGTGAGATCCTTGGCACTTGTACAACGATTGAAAAAACCATTAAGCTGCTATTTGGCTCGATGGATTAATGGTTTTGGTGTTTCTTTCCAGATCTCTCGAAAAATCGCTTCAGTGAACTGCCAGAAGAAGTGACCGATTTCCATTTCCTCGAACGCCTTCAGTGCTACCACAACGCCATCAGATTCATTCCGGACTCCATCAGCAGTTTGCAATGTTTGAACTTTTTGGACCTGAGCCGGAACCAATTGGCCGCCCTGCCAAGGGAAATATGCCTGCTGCCCATTCAGGTAAAAGTTCGCAAAAAAACCTCATCAAAACGATGATAATTCGCTTTCATGACGCTCCGCTTGGCAACAATCAAGTCGATAAATTGCCGATTATTTTCGCTCGGTTGATGGACCTGCAGTGGACTCTACTTTTACTTTTGCAGAATCGTTTTTACGCTTTTTTGCCGTACCGAATCCGAGGCAAAAGTACCGGTTCTTTTTTCAATTATTGCCAAATATTGCGTTTCAGCCTATAGGGCGACTAGGGAAAAGGCTATTAAGAACCCCCCAGGTTCTCGACTGATTTTTCTTTTCTGGTTTTTTGCTTCTGTGGCCGATGGTCTGAACAAAAGCGCCGAAATAGCGGGGCATTTTTGGCTTTTTTCTTAATCCCTCTTCTCTTTCTCCTTCTTTCCCTGTTCTTCAATTGATTTAGTTGCTGTTTGTCTTTCGGGTGCTTGAAAAGTTCCAGAAGAAAGGCTGTAGAAAGGAACCTCTAATCCGCCTCTAAAAATTTGCAACTCCCAAACTTTAGCCAATAAAAGGCTGCAATTTTGGGGGCCCGCACCCGAAGCCTTCGTTATGAAGTGTCCAAAATTTCAATTGATTTGGAGGTCTCGTTCAGTTTCTGAGAATTTTTGAATTTTCCATATACAAGAAAAGTCTTTACGATCTTCACCCTCGCGTCCAAAAATTCGCAACTTTTAAACTTTAGCGATTA